CTCCTGCATGAGAACTGAGAGGCCGGCTAGGATCCGCCAGGCAGGGCTGGGCGAGACCCCGAGGTCCCTGTCCAAGTGCAGCAGCACCAGGGCCCGGCACTCCTGGGGCCTCGGTAATACTTGACAGTGAACATTGAGGACACACACTTCAGATGGCTTGGGGGGGGGGAATAGAATCCAAGGGACCAGCTGCTTTTTTTCCCCTATTTTGGGAGGCAGCCATCTTACCTGGTCCAAGGTCAGGTTCTGAATAGTCACCAATTCCCAGACAATGTCCCAGCCAAAGTGGGACAACTGGCTATCAGTGACATCCCAGATCTCCTTGGGCCTACGTGTTCCTGGGATGTATATTCCTCAAAATTGTTTCCAGGTCACTTTGACGTCATTAAAATAGACTGTGTGTGTGTGTACCCACAGGGTTGACACACCCAGTTCCAGCCTTGCCTTGCCGGAGCTGAGCCACCAAACTCTGTTATCTGCTCCACGCAGCCAGAGGGGGCACCACCTCCCCACGAGGCCTCGCCTGACCTCTCACCTCTCTGCGCGTGTTCTTCGCCACCCCCCTTCTCCAGCTGGCCTCTGCCTGGGGCCCCCCATTCCCTACCCCCTGCCCAGCTGCAGCATCCTGGCTCATAGGGAATCTTGCCCAGGCCAGGCGGGCTGAGGGTCATGCCCCTGCCCACCTCTGGGGCCTGATCACCCCTCCGGCAGTTGAACCCCTGGCAGTCAGAACCTATGACAAGCACTTCCTCTGTGGGCTCCCTGGCTCCCCAACTAGCTTTCAGCCCCCAAGAGGCCAGCCCTCACTCCTGTGCTCAGTGCCTTTGGGAGCCACCAGTGTCCCTTAGAAGATGCAAACACTTCACGAAGAGGACTGAACGCCTAACTGAGTGGATGAAGGTAGAGGAACAATGAGGAAGTTCATTCATCTGACAAATATTGATGAAGCGCTGGGGCCAGGCACACATGGGTAAGGAGAAGCACTGAGCGGGCCGATCCACCTCTGCGGGCCTCAGTCTGCAGGAACAAATGAGCAAATGAGAGAAGGGGAGCCGAACAGTGGAGGAAGAGCGCAGTGCAGCCCCAGGGCACAGGCGGCAGTGTAGGTCTGCAGTGCTGGGTGCCACGTGGACAGCCACGGGTCCAGATCCCAGGTCGACCTGAAACACACCAACCCGTGGACACCCAAGATCACGGTGAGCCGAGAGCTGGGGGAAGGGGGTTGCTGCAGGATGAGACCCGGTTGAAGATGTCTCTCTCTCTCTCTCCCTCGTACACACACTCACTCTCCTGCATGAATAAAAAAATTTATAGGGACCAGCAGATGGCATAATGGCTACATTGCTGGACTCCCCCATAGTCAAGCACGGTTCGAGTCCCAGACCCAGCAGCTTAAAACTCACACAAGGTACATGCGTGTGCGTGTTCATGCCCAAAATCTCAAAAGGGGAATGGAGAAGGGACTGTGGTCATCCCTCTGGGGGGGGGGTGATTTCTCACTTTCTAGCTCTTTCTCTCTATCTCCCCAGCAAGCATACACCCCCTGTAGCAAAAATCTCTCTAAGGAAAAAAAATTCAGAAATTAAAAAAGAGAGAGAGTGAGCAGGTAAATAGGCAGGTGACCAGATGGGGCACAAGTAGGCAGGCCCTTGGAGACCCCAACAGCCTTCTCCTGACCAAGATCTCCCGCCCCGTCTACACAGCTCCCCTGGCCCGCCCCAGCCTCCCTCTCCTGGGCCCATTGGAGCTGGCTTTCCCCCAGGGCAGTGCTCAGACCCTGCATTCTCCACCAGCTTCCGCATCCACCCTGGCGTCTCTGCACGCACAGGCGATGCCTCCCTCTGCTCCCCGCTGCTTCCCTTCCCTTCTGTCCCCTAAGGCCTTGACTGGATGGGAACACTCAGTGTCTCCCCACCATCACCGCCATCTTAGGCTGGGATCCACCCAGCTCAGGTCAGCTCACACAGAAGAACTGGGGTGCCAGCCAGTCCCCCTGAAGGGCCGGGTAAATACACTCAAGCCAGCCATCCACCCGCATGCCAGGGTACGGGGAGCAGGTCCTGGGGAGAGAGAGACAGACCAGTGCTCCCACTGGGGTCCAAACGGCCCTGGTAGCCTCCAGGGGGATCCTGGGAACACTCTTAGCGTGGCCTGCCTGGATGCTAAAATGTGTTGTTCTGCAACGGAAAATGAGTCACGTTAGGCAAACGTGGTAAGTACTTTTTGAGGAGGATGCATTTGATACGGGGACAGAACATCTGAGTCCACCTTGGCATTGCCGCCACGGCCCTGGGTACTCCCTCTAGTCTGCTATTCCTGCAGCCACAGGCGTGGCCCTTCCGCCTCCCCTTTAATGTGGCGTGTGTGTATGTGTTTGAGTGTGTTTCTGTGAAGGAGGGGGGGTATGGAACCAGGGTTTCAAATTTTATACACACGTTCTACACATAATTGTGTTGCTTTGAACCACAGGAAGAGTACGTGGCCCGGAGCTGATCCGAACTCACGGCTGCGGTCGGTCCGCACTGATGCTGTGACAGATAAGCCTCTGGGCCTCGGTGTCACGATGCAGCAGATACCGTGACGGGCTGCCCAGCTCCTTCTTCAGAACAAGGCCTTCATTCCTGCAGCCGCCTGGGCACCGCCTGCTGCCGCCCTCAGCGGGCTCCCTCTCCAGGGCTGCGTTTGTCCCCCAGGGTAGACACCTTCCCCAGCAGCCCGTAACCAAGACCCACACATCTGGGCAAGCTCAGGGCCCACCTCGGCTGGAGCAGGCTGAGGGAGCTCCGTGCTCTGACTCCGTCCCACTCTCCCACTCACCTCCTCCCTGTGCCAAGTCTGTCCCAGGTGCTGTTCTCAGAGAGCTCTGCCGGAGAGCTCGGCCTGAGTCCGTTTCCCGGGGAACTGACCTAGAAAGTCGCCCTGTCATAGCCCGCGATAAGGCAAATACGGGGCTGGGCACGGCGCCCAACACGGAGGAGAGCTCAGATCCTGACGGCTGTGAGCACTCCCACGGGGTCACAACTCCCCGGCCTTGGCCGGATGCTCAGATCAGCCGTGATGCTTGAAAGAAAGAAGAGGGGAGGCAGGGAAGGAGGGAGGCGGGGTGGGGCGGGCAGGTGCCTATGCCCTGATCCCAGAGAGTCTGACTCAGCAGCATCAGCCCCGATGCCCGCGTTTTCACACCCCACAGGTGTTGATGGACAGCCAGGGCTGAGAACACTGACCTGGGTCATCTTTCTCTGCCTCCATCACCCTTGTAATTAACAGGCAAGGAGCACACAGGGCAAAGTGACCTGCCCAAGGGAAGACAGGGACCAGCTGCCCAGAGGGGGCTCAACTCCTTAATCCTGGCTCACTTGGGGTCACTACCGAGGCAGGGGTGTGTGAGGGGCGGCGGCG